GTCGCTAGCAAGTAAATTTTGCCGGACTTTGAGTTCATCTCACGATAGAACAACGCAAATACACAAGGAAATTTTAACAGTAACTTTATAGCCATCCTTTTGTCTTTTAAAAGCTAGAAGCTCTATAGATTCTGTCATATCGGTCATTGTTATAACTGTCTTTGTTTTGATGCTACTTTTCTACATAGAAAAAGTATGTCGGACACAAATATTCACCAAAAAATAAATATTTCTTTGCCAGCTTCAGCGCTCTGATTGGCCATAAAACCATTTTACATGAGCGTGTATAAACACGGTTTTCGTTCCTCTTTCATTAGTTATTTAATAAAAGAAATGTAAAATGGATAAACTCGATAAGCTGGAAACCACTCCGCTTCGCGTCGTGGTTTCCTACGCTTATCTCGTGTTCTCCCAACCTCCCGCCTGTATAAATCAGGCTATGTAAACACGGAAACCATTTTACATTTCTTCAACAAAACATGAAAGTAGGAGAGAAAACAAATTTTGGGGACTTGCTGCTGTTTGCTGATGCATGTTGACATTAGCTCTTAAGTTACTTCTCCGCTCAGAGTTTCATTTACATGGATACGACACAGATTGTAGGTTCGTTATCTTTCGTTGGGTCTTTTAGTGACATTTTGTAGTTAGATATAGATAGACATTTGTGTCTATTTGTTCGTATCTGTAATCGCATGGGCCCAAGGGCAATTAAGGGTTAATTTCCCGCGTATTTTTTCAATGTTCACCCAAAATTGCCCGAGTCGCGAAACAATTAAAAAATGTTTGGAAAACTTTGAAAATACAGGTGAAATTAGTCTCAAATTGCCTGAGGGCACTTGCGATTCCTTGTTTATCACAGAAAGGGCAAAATTTTTGAGGGAATTGCATTCGCGCACGCTTACGCTATCCGTGCGATGAATCCCTTTCAATGCCGCTACAAATGTCAAAACAAATGTAAGTGATCAATAGATACGATGAACCTTTGTCATTGTTTTCCTCATCTGGTGTGATTAAAGCCATTTTTTACTCGCCTTCTTTCCTCTTATAAATATCATTCAATATATCTTATAAGACGTTTTGGCGTCTTGTATCGCTGAGTATTTTTACGATTTGAGCTGTATTTTGTCGAATCCGCAGGGTAAGTCAAATACAAACAACGATTTTTACAATCATTTATGTTAATGCAATTTTTAGAAGGCGAGAAAAGCGAAGTAAACAGAGAAGCGGTTTTTTTGTGTAATGCTCGCGTCGGATTGGCTCATGAGACGTCAGCTTGTCACAAGGTGTCAAAACGATTCAAAGTTGAATTTGCTCTGAAATCATGCATATTTAAAAGTAATACAAGTACAAAAGTGTTCATTTTTCAATGAATAATTAATCGCCAGTAACAAAGCTTTGAATCTACCGGGAGACATACTCTCAAAGACAGGG